TATCCACATTGATCTATATCACTTGGTTGACTTCGATCATACCTGGTTTTACATTAACTAACAACAAATGATTTACTTTTGATTAAAAATAATGTAATTTACCATATTTGCATTAATTTACTTTTATTAATAGTAAATAATTTATATTAATTTATTGTTATTGTAAATAATTAATTTACTATACATTACATTATTACTAATCAATAGTAATTTCAATTTTTTTTAAATTATCATAAAATATTGTAATATATTGTTATTTAAGTTACTATTAGTTGATTAGTTATAGAATTTTATTACAGTTGTAGGAATACAATTTTCCTTGTAAAACCAAGGCCTTACCTTGCCCCAACCTGAATGGGGCAAGTTTTTTCAAATCATAAACAGGGATGGGGACAGGGAAAATATTTTTGCCCCAAATTAGGGATAGGGTTTGCATATGATTCCCCCGAACCCGATGGTAAATTAGTAAAATATCCTTAGATTGAATATTGATTTTTAAAATATCTCTAAGTTTTTCTCATATTCTTATAATCTTAGGATCCCGTAATTTTATTTATAAAATACCCTAAAATTCTCATAATCCTATTTATAAAGTATCCATGAATTATATTTTTTTAGATGGTTGTGTGAGAGTGGAAAAATTTTGGGAATTCCCCATCCCTGATGGGGAATGGATGCCTTGATCTGAACCTACTCTGCCATTGGGGTAGGGATGGGGATGAAGTAGAGTGTTTTGATTTGCGGGGGCAAGGGACAAGGAAGGGTTCCCTAGCACGGGCCCTTACTCCTTCTCCATGTATTTATGTTGTTTTCTACTCCTTCGAATTGTGTGGCTTTTTGAATAAAACAAAACAAACAAGATGCTATATATTTAGATTCACCCAACCAATTCAATTTATCTATCATTGGGAAATGGAATGTAATCATTACCCTCTAAAATATAGGCATCTTTAAATGTTAGTACATGCATCACACCCCTAAAACCAATAATCCCCAACAACGGTGAAGTTGGGATCTAATCCCAAGCCTTCACTACAACTAGCCAAGTACCATACAAATTGAGCCAATTTGCACCTTTAATGGGCAACAATTTTGCCCTAGTGCCTCAAGGACAATTTTGCGCATTCAATTTAATAACAAAATTTAGTAATAACTATGAACATGTCGCTACAACAAAGTTAAATGGCCAAAACAAGATTCATGCAGTTGATTTTCATTAAGGCTATGTTTGGTTTGAAGGAAAAAGTAGGGAAAGGAAAGGCAAAGGAAACCTTTAGGTTTTGATATACTTTCCTTCATTTCTCTACCTTTTCCTTCAAACCAAACATAGCCTAAGCGATAATTGAGACCAATGATCAAAGTATTGGTATCGGGTATTGTATTAGACAACTTGGATATGGATATGGATACGCTTAGGAAACGTATGGATACTGATGAAAAATATAGAAACGTTTGGATACACTAGAGAAATGCACAAAAAATCCATATATATATTAAAAATATTAAGTTTAATGTCAAAATAATTATAAATAATATATAAAAACATAGGAGCTTCACATTTTAATGGTATATATGAAGAAATATATTACAACTAATATAGCAAGATGCATATATATTATGCTATTTTATTGATAGTGCATCAATCAAGAATCTAAGACATATTATATAGATTCTTAGAAATTAATACATGCAAAAAGCCATTACTTTTTTATTTTCTATCAAAGTCCAAGGCACAAAACATATGCAACTATTTTATTTGAATTACTATATCAATATTTATCTTTTACTATTTTTATTTTTTAACATTAACAAAAAATCAACAAAAAAATCAATTCTCAAATAAATATATTTTATAAAAAAATAATATATTATTTTCATTTTTTCAAAATTAAATATGTTATTATAAAATGTAAAGTATTAATTAATAATTTATAAAAAATATATAATCTTAACTTAAAATATATCAAATATATTACAATTTTGAAGATATATATATATATATCATATGAAAATTCATAAACTTTAATTACTAAAATAATTATTCCATTATTAATGTTTTATTTTATAAGATTTCTAAAACACAAAATTATTTTATTTTTATATAAATGTGGATTAGTGGAATTGACCAATTCAATTTATGTCATATTCTCAAATATTTTGTAAATAGTATTTTTATTTTTAAATAGGAAATATATTATTATTTAATGCAAATTAAAACATTATTTAATAATTTATAAAAAATGAATATGCCTATAATGTGAAAATTTATAAATTTTAAGTATTGTGATATTTATTCTATTAATAATAATTTTATTTGTATAAATTTATTGAAATTAAAAATCAAAATTTGGTATATATGTAGATTTGATAAATTATTTATTCTATTATTCATAAAATACTAATTTTAAAAAATATTATTTTTAATTTATAGTTTGAGTTGTTGAATATTAGTATATATTGTTTATTTGGGTTGTATGTAGACTACTATAATTTAATGTTGATAAAGGTTAACATATTTCTTTTATTATCAAAAAGTAGTAAGTGGTTTGGTGGTTGAAGAGGCATATACTATTGGTTATTGGGTTAGACGATACGCGGTTTGAATCACACCATCCTCAATCTTTTAAAGTGAGACATAGTTTATAGTTGTTAGGTGAAGGCATGGATGCTTGGTACGTTGTTGTATCAGTGCGTATCGGATCGTACCGCTTGATGCTATACGATATGCACCGATACAGTATCAGGCGTATCGTATCGATATTTTATTCCTTCATTGAGACAAAGTTTTTGCATTTTTTTCCTGACCACTAAACATAGTGTATTATATTTTAGGCAAAATCTATGGTGCATTGTATGGAAGTTGATGCAACGTAACTCAAAGGTGAACAAATTAGTGATAAACTGACACATTGCAATGACATATTTAATGGTGATAACCATTAATAAAAAACACACCTATTACTAGGGGGTGTTCTTTTTTTTTGGATTTTGAGAGGGGGAAAGTTGGCCAATGGGATTTTGGTTCCTATTGACCAAGAATCCTATGTTCATTTTTCAGATTTATTTGGGGAATAGGAAAAGTTTATTTTCTTCTATGTGGGTAAATAACTTTCTCACCTAAGGGGAAAGTTGCTAACACTTGAATGGGATAAAAATGCTCATTTTAATAGTGGACTTTTATGGCTAAAATGGTCATTACCTTATTTACCTAGGAAATAAAAGAACATGGGTAAATGAACTTACCCAAATAAGTGTTTTCTATGAAAAACTTACCCAAGTAATTACAATTACCCAGATCAATAACTTAACAAAAAGCAAGCGGGAAATTGTATTATTTTTTGATGTCTTTTATTAAAGGTAAGTGGACTATATGTTGTCTTTGATGTGCTCGATGGAATTTTTTATGCAACACATAAAAAATTGAAATAGGTCATAATTGGACTATATTATCTTATAAGTATAATGATTAGTAGTTTTCAGTTTTCACAGATTTGTGCTACAATTTTGCAGTCAAGACAGTATTAAGTAAATCTGACATATTTGTTATTGTATTATTAACTTACAAGTTTTATATGGCAAAATATCAACTAGAGATGCAATCATGTTTTAATAGACTTTAATATATTTTATATGCAAATATTTGTATAGTATAGTTATAAATAGGGATGACAAACAAGGCGGGGTCATAAAAGGGTTTTGTAAGACCCTACCTGCCTCTCAGGACCAACCAGCCCACGCTTCAGACCCTTTCCAAAACTCGTAGTGGTTTGGAATTTCAGAATCCAAACCCTATGCACACATGAAATGTAAAACCCTAAATTCATATTATTTCTTTTTATACATACGCAATGAACAAGTAAATTAGTATGAACAAACATCATAATTTCATAATTTCCGATTAAAATGTATAAAAAACATGTGAACTATCAAATACATAACTCCATAATTTCAAATACATAACTATCAAACATCATAATTTCATGTGAACTATACTATTGAATTCAACAGCTAATACATAACTCCATATGCCATTCAACGATATGCGAATCAAATAGAGTCGGGTTTATCCTAATGCCATACCCCTGCCCATATCTGTATGTATTGTAAAGTCCAAAAACCCATTCCCACCCATAAAGATAGTCATTGTCATCCCTAATTATAAAATATACACGTCTTAAAATCAATATGGTCTTAAAAAAGTTTAAACTAATAAAATACTAAGGCTGTATTTAGTATTCCTTATTTAAAGGATTTATCTCATTTTTGCAGTTAAAATGCTCTTATGGGCAATGGGGTTTTAATGACAAAGGAAACAAGTTTAAAGAATGCTAAATAAAGCCTAAGAATATTAAATAATGCAATAACAATATTAGGTTGTTCACAGGATTCAAACTTAGGCACTGCCAAATGACTAGGAACATTGCCTATCACAAGTATTGGCCCTTGACTATGGGTTCAATTTGGGTGGACTGGGTTAGGTTGAAGGTCAACCCATGGCCAACCCTAAAGATGCAGACCTCAAAATTGGGTCTGGACCAATCTTCCCTAAGTTTTTCAATCTAGGTCCTACCTAAGATTGAACCCAACATTACTTGGGCTGAGTTCAGGCTTGGGTTGGGTCAGGATGGGCTTAATCGGGTTGATACGGGTTTGAAAATTTTCTGAATACATTTGTTTTTTATGATCATCTTTCGTTATAGATGTTTTATACGAATAAACATGTATTAATGTATAATTAGAAAAATAGGTGGGTTTGTATAAATATAAAATACAGGTATTGTGTATATATTTGTTTGAATAAGCTAAGTGAATTGCGCTTAGCCCCAAGTTTTTTACTTTTTACCCAAGCCTAATTCACAGCCTGAAAAAACTCGGATTCGACCGGTTCGCGCCCGGGTTAAGCCCGGCTGGCCGCCCAGCCGCCCAGGTTGCACGCTGCACACTTGCACCCTTCCGAGGGGCTTAAAGCAGGGTTTAAGCTCCTTGTTATATTCGTTTCAAGCCGCTTGGCCAGGGACTTCGCCGTTCGTTAATGGAGGCATACCGTCCATCGGCAAAAACTCCTTCCAAAACCCTAAGCCCTAATCTCACCCCACCATGAAAACCCTTACTTCACGAACTGTCTTTATCTGCGCCACTTCTTCTTTTTCTTCTTCTTCTACTTATTCATGTCTTCCTTCTTCTTGCTGTGTTTTACTCCATTCAATCAACAATGAAGTACTTCAGAGAAACAGAGGAGGAGCCTCTCATTTTTCCTCGTATTCATCTGCAGGTTCCTCTTCTTCATGGCGACACCACGACGAAGACAGCCGAAACGTGAGGATCTCGGTTTGGTGGGATTTCGAGAACTGTACTGTCCCTTCAGGGATCAATGTTTTCAGAGTAGCACAAAGAATTACTTCTGCACTTAGAGCTAATGGGCTCAAGGGGCCCGTTGCAATTACCGCATTTGGCGATGTCTCGCAGTTATCGAGGGCGAAACAAGAGGCGCTGTCTGCAACAGGAATCTGTCTTAACCACATCCCCCGGGGTCAGTTTTGATTTTTTTTCTTGTAACTTTTTTTATACGTATTATTGTTGTAATTTTAATTCCATGGGGGAAGAAAACCAGAGAAACAATAGGGCAGTATAACTTTTCCCGTTACATGTATTCAGATACCTGTAACAGACTGAATGCAAGTGCAAGAATAGTTCAGCGCAAACAAGTGTAGCATAGCCAACAAAAAGTTAGCCGCATACGGCTCAAAATTAAAGCTTAAGAGGTTGAGCTAGAGAGCTAGCCATATCAGAGAATTCAAATTGCCCACAAAGTTAAAGCTTAAGACTGCAATAATTGCCGCTATCCATTCATATATAATACGAGCTAAGATGTCCAGGTTGGGTACTTATCAAAATAACACAAAGATGTCCAGGTTTTAAAGTTTCTATCTTGCTCTTCTGGACATGGCTTTGCGTTGCTTCTATTAACCATTCTTTAAGCTATTAAGGTTGATTTTTCAGCTTCCTGATTGGTGACCCATATTACCTTAATATCATTTTTTAGCAAAAGATAACAAGCATAAAAAATGAGAGTATTCTGGTTTAGATGCTAGTTATCTAGTTTATTGGGAATTAAATTCAAATATTTCATCTGTCTTTTCCTTCTAAAGATCATTGGTAACAAGCCTAGAGAATCATTACAAATCTACAATAGTGCTTCCTACCAAATGTGGTCATTGAGGACCAAATAGGTAAAGTACTGCTGTTTTAGTTAAGGTTGTATGGGACCCTAAACCAACCTAATAAAGATGAATAGATACGTTAAGAATGGATTATGCATTATATTGGTTCCACACAAACTAGTAGATTTTGGGTTTCTATCCCCTTGTCATTATTATTTTCTTTGACTAAATTATAATGTAATATTTGATAACTAGTTTTATTATATTATTTGTTCCATTTTTGAAATACCTATCTGTTATATTGGGCCTAATGTAGATTCATAGATGGACTTAGAGGTCCTTTGAGGACATATTTACCAGTTTATAGAGGACAAACCTTTCTTGTATGGAGCTTCATTCATTGGTTTCCTAGATCATCCAATACGACTTTGGATATCTTAGCAAGATGAAGGGTATTAAGGACTTGTGTTAATGAGATTATCTGCTGCTGCTGCAGCTGTTGCTGCATCTTTAAGGGGCTTGCTTGCCTAGGACCTATCCTACATGCATTCCTGGGTTCTTATTATCTTATTTAGTCCTGGGATTGGATTCACCCTTGATGATGATTGTACTTGAAGCTAATACTTACACTGCCATTAATGGGAGAAATTTAGGATATTCCTAGTTCTTTAGTTAGGTCGTCAGTGCTTTATTGTGCAGCAATGGGCCAAAAGTAGAACACTTCATCTTCCTTGGAGGCTTGAAGTTCTTTTCCCCTTTCCATCTAAAAGAGGAAAGGTTATGTGGTGTTTTGCTAATGCTTCAATATTATAGTCCACTTGGGAGGAGATAGTGTTTTAAAAGTGCAAGGCGCAGGGGTCAATTTGCGCCTGAGGTGTAGGGTGCAAGGCAAGGCGTGCACCTTTTTAAGCAAGGCGCAAAAATAAAAAAATGGCTAAAAATTCAAAAATAATGCAAAAAATAAAAAAATGTTAAAACACGATATTAATAAAAATATAAACTTTAATTTTAAAATAAATGTTTTAAAAAACCTATTATCTAATATTAAATTACATAAATATAACATGTAAAGCATATTCAAATGAGAATTCAAAAATAAAATCAAATATATAAAACATTTTTTTTGATAGATACAGATATATAAAACATTTTCAAGCATATAAAACCCACAATCTCTTTTTTTTCTCAATTGCATTACTTCAAGTAGCTAATGTGATGTAAAACATATTACATTCCTGATTCTATGAGCCGCCTTTGTGCCACATCCCTAACGTGGACTTGTTTGGGCTTGCCTCGTGGGGCGTGGCACGGGGTCCAGGGGCGGAGCCCTCGCCCCAGCTGCTAGACACAAAAAAAGCAAAAAAGTGTCAAAGTTTTAAAAGGCGCACAGGCTGAGGTGCAAGGTGCACCAGGCATGTGCCTTTTGAAAGGGCTGCGCCTAGGACCTGGGCGAGGTGCCAACCTAAAATGCACCTTGCTTGTGCACCTAGGCGTGCCTTTTAAATCACTGGGAGGAAAGATATGCCATGCTATTCTCAGGGGGAGATCAAGATACTGATTGAGATCATCACCATTGGTTTGGACCATTTGGTACTTCGGAGAAGGGGTTTAAATATTTTTTCCTTTGATGTTATTGTTTGGAGTTGGTTGTAGCCTGTAAGTGGCAAGGACCTCAAGTCCCTTCAGGTTACAATATTATATCTCTTAGCCGATTGCCTTTCCTCAATGAACAACGGAGTTCAATTTATATTGATATTTGTTCCTCTTCTTACTCAACAGGAAGAGGCTGTGTACTTTTTGTACCATTTTTTTTCTGTTATTAAGGAATTTTCTTAATCTTGTTGCTGATTAAAAAATGAGGGATATTCTTTTAGGGATGAGATGGGAGAGGTTTTATTGGCCTAATGTTGCCTTATTGGTTCAAAGGATCTAGTTCAGGCTGTGAATGATGCCATTGCTCCAGTGTCTCAGGCTGTTGGCATTAGTTCAGGATGTGAATGGCGTAGTATTCAGGAGAGATGGGAGAGAATTTATTGGCCTAATGTTGCCTTATTTGTTGATTGAAGTGACATTCTCGTTTTGAAATGGAGTTTGAAGGACAAGAAGGGGTCTCACCTGCTGGTAAGTGGAGAGATGCTCTGAGAATAGAAAATAAAGAAATACTGCTGGAGGAGATATTCTACTAGAAGGACTTTACGATCAAGATTAGAGAAGGAAAGAGGAACGATTTTGTTGGTGGGAGATGCTGTTCCTTGGTTTCTAGGTTTTTTAGATGGAGTTGCCCAAGTGAACTGGAGTGAAGTGTGGAAAGGTACGCTAAGGCAGGTCAGGAGAGAATACGTAGCTGAGAGAAGAAAGAACAAAGGATGGTTTGTTACTCTGGAAGAAAAGTTTGACAAAAGGAAAAGGCAAACAATAATTATCCCTGAAGGTGCTCGGCAGCAGGGATGGTTAGCGGTGGCTAATGCTATACACAGGAGATTAGTCAGCAAGGAATCAGGGACTGTGAAAGTTCAGACAGAGAAAGTAGTTGGTGGACAGAGTAAGAATGAAGAAAGAGACTGGAGAGGTTGGGCTTAGAAGACATAGTGGAAAACCAAGGGAAGCCAACAGTGGCGTTTACAATATCAGAACCAAAAATCGCTTTGGCCGGGGGGAAGGGAGCTTGGGAGAAGAAACTCATTTTATCTGCGAGGAAGGAGGTAAAGGACTGGAAGGGGCTGTTAGAGGAGGTGTCGTTGAAGCTTGGGTTAAACCAGACGGTCACTCTTATTCCATTCAACGATAGAAAAGCAGTCCTTGATGTGGGGGAGATGTCGATGGACTTCACCATGCTGGATATGGGTGAAGGACCTGTTAGAATTGAAAATTGGTGCCCCCTTTCGAATGAGGTTGCTGCTGTAGAAGGTAGTTTCAAGCTGAAGCTGCTAGGGCTACCTTTTCATCTTTGGCAAAACTTCACCCTAGAGAGACTGGTGCGAGTGATGGGCGGTGTTCTCTTGTCGTACAAGACTACAGATCTGAGAGCAGTTCTTTTGAGAGTTGCTGGAATGAAGCCTTCCGAGGGTACTACAACTATGCGCAGAAGGATACTGGTATAAGGTCTGGGTGAGTTCGGAAGTTGAAACGCTGCAGTGGATGGGGAGGTTGAAGCTTGAAGGAGATGATGACGTGGCAAGATGGATTACAGTTGGCGGGACTGAGCAAAGGAAGTTTGGACACGTGGCAACTGCTGGAGTGAAGCTTTCATCAAATGTGGAAGCTGAAAAGTCAAATGCCGAAAGTAAAGAGGCATTTTTGGAAAAGCTTACAATTTTTTTTGAAAACAAAAACAACTTTACAGCTGGTTTTTCCTATGCGGAGTTGGTCAAAGGAGTAACCTGGTCAGACCAAGGGGCGGTTTGAGTCAGGTCCAAGTTCGAGTTTCTCACTACACATTCTGACCCGACTGGCTCAGTTCCGGGTCAGTTTGTTCATATTGAGATAAGGGCCCACAACACTTGTTCGGATTCATGTGACCACTTAAGTGGTCACGTGAGTCGATTTTATAAGCAGCCATTGATGGACAATTCTAAGTGTCTATCTTCTTCCTCACGAGATTCGATTGTTGGGGGACCGAAAATCTCTTTTAGCCAGCCAGAGTTCATCGAAGAAGACTCTGAACTGGATTCCGATGACAAAACATAGAGAAGACGATCGTGATGGGACAGAGGGAGATAGGCCAAATCCAAGATATTCCAAGGGGTGTAGGGAAGACGGTGAAGATGAGGACGGCGGTTGGGTCAGTTGTGGTAGCTCAAAGGAGATGTCAGACTCAGACGATGAAGCGGAATTTCAGTGTGATGAATGTCAAGGAGAGTTAGAAGACACCTTAAACAATGATATACTATACTCAAAGCTTGTAGTAGAGGATTCCTTATTGCATAAAACTTCCATTGGGTGCGGAGAGATGAATGTTGCCGAGTGTGCTTTGAAAGACAAGGAGGAAAATCAAATACTAATTAAGGAAGAATCAATCCAGGAAAGTAACTTAAGACAAGGGACCTGCAAGAGAAATTCAGTTGCTCACCAAAATTCGAGCAGAGATGGCACAGGCGGAGATAATCGACAGAGCCTCGGAAGTACGAACAAGGGTGAAGTCAGCCTAGGTGGTCATCAGCTAAGCCCTATTCAGAGAGTGGGAGGACTAACCTTTTCGATTGTCTCTTCTCCTATTCCTTCAGACCCAGGTATGGCTGTGGTTTCGGTTTTAGATACTAATGTCTGCTCTGCTTTTGATGTCAGTCTTTCAGATTCCAGTCGTGCCCCTGTACTGAATACCCAAGGATTAGAGGCTGACAATGAGGAGGGTGGGGAGTTACAGGAGGGG